TGAACTGAGCAGCTGGCTTGGAAAGCTGTTCAAAACAGCTCCAGCATCAGCTGGGCATATCGCCGAGAGGTATCCACTGAAAAAATTTTATCATTCATTTTTCGTCGATGTCCTCACATCAGTTCAAAATGTTTGTTTCTAAAAATATTCAGGCAGCCGCATAAGAGGCGGTTTTTGGCAGTAGTCTGAACGGGCGATAGTTGTAATTTTTATTTTTTTTTTTGAAATTTCCCTCATGAATCATTATTTGGCCAGACAGAGTGCCACTTAATTTACCCGTACGGAGTACTCATTATATTTGAATGGTCTGGTCAGCTGAATTATTCAGAAAGGCAGAGAATACACAGAATTGCCGGGGTGAGTCTGTTTGGCTAGGGTCACCTGGATTAACATTATTAGCATTAGTGAAGCTGTATTGTCTTTTATAATCACGGGATTATTTTTAGTGGCCAAGATTAGCTTACAAAGGCAAGAAGCTACTCGTGCGCAGCGCAACTGTACGTTACTCCTAGTTTAATCACTGTCTTACTTCGTTGACACTTACAAGAAAAGGGTGGACGATTTGGAGTTGTATGCGCATTCATCAGGCGTTAGGTATGTTAGAAAACTTGTATTTTTCACGGCAGGAGCTTTTTTTTTTTTTTTTTGCATATAGAATAAGTAGAAAAGTTGCTAGCATGCCAAATATGCCCGAACAGTCATTGTGGAGATTGCATTTTATTGGTTTTTGCTAGGCTATTTCCACGTGCTAGGCACAAATGTACTAGGCATTTCAATCCTAAGCTTCAGTTCATACCCACCGCCTGTTCTCTGTGCACCAGCTCTGTAGATTCCTCCCTAACTTTGTTTACTTTCACAGAATTACTGCTCAAATGCGTCGCCCACCGTTTGTCAGTGATGTAAACAGCTTGTTTTGCGTATGAAGTTATTCCTTCTTGATCGTAATGAGGTCCAATGGGTCTGCGCCAACTGGAGCTCTTTAGCGTGCCGTTTTCAGCTGAAGATTTACTTGCTGGCAAAGGTGGACGTTGTTAACTTTTTGCCTTGCTTCCTTGGCAGCTATTCATTGAAGAGTCTTATTGGTAGGTCAGTAATAACTGCACTAAACTGGTTCTTCGATTTTATCGCATCCCTCTTTTCATCTCTTTTATCATTACAGGCGCAAAGCTGTAGTTGCATGGCTGAAGCGAAACCAGATCAATGTGACGAACAACGAAGATGGTTCGATGACTGTTTTGGATGTTGCTCGAATTGTCGAACCATACACTGCTGATGATTGCATTTCTGTGAATCCATTCATTTTGAAGAGGTTGAAGAAATTAGTGGGGAAAATGCCTGATGCGGACTCCTTGTGAATTTTACATATCCATGCAGTGCTGTTTTTGAGTTCATTTCTATGATACTCCAGGATAATCTCACTTTTTTTGTTGCTTTATTGTGCATATTGTGCTCGTTGCCGATTGCGGTTTTTTGACCTTTGCTGG